AGTACGGAGTTTGTCATTTTGATCCATGTTTTAATGTTTATAACGTACGTAGCTGTCATAGTCTCATAGAGCATTATTCTTCATTCTTTTTTTCTTTTTCTTTTTTTTTTTTATTATTTTTTTAATAATAGTATTAACCATTTTACCTTATTATATTCACATATTTTTATATAATGTCTCTTAATTATTTACCAGTACATTTTTTCTTACACTTAAGACATGTTCTGATTTATTGATCGAATCAAACTGAACTGAACTAATTATTTTATGAGAGAATGAAATTTGGAGCTGAACTGAATTGAACTGAAAATAAGTTGAAGAGATCAAAGAGGCCCTTACTCACCTTTCTCCGATAGACGCTACACATACAATTGTGCAAACAAAGAGATCAAATAGGCCCTTACTAAAGCTACACATACAATTGTGCAAACAATACAAAAGTACGTTAATATCATTTTGACATAAATGCAGTATAATTGCAAAATAAGATCTATATAATGCCTAAATTTGCTACTCCGTAAGACTTAATAACTTTTGCAATACGTGTAATGGACACCTTAAATAAGAAATTTGACAATTTAAATTATGACACGAGTGTACTAACTAGTTGTCTATACTCTTAATTACTATTTTAACAATGATGACAACAAGTCTACAAATAGGATACCAACTTGTAGTATAACTGTATTAGAGATGACTGCTATGTCTAATATAATTTGAGTTAATCTAATTGGCAAATGACTAGTTACGTGAGCTCCAAGTAGTATTAAATATTTGAAAATGAAGAAGTTAAGGGCCCTGTTTGGTAGTTAGCTTATTGGGGGTATATTAGCTTATTTGACTAACTTTAGCTGATTGACTAGTCAAACAAGCTAATACAAGTGTTTGGTACTAAGCTTATTGAAAGAGCTTATTCCACTAAATAAGCTCTTTTTGAAAAAACTCATTTTAGGAGCTTTTTCAATTAGCTTATTCATTAATTATTGTGAAATTACACTTATAACCTCATTTAATTTAAAATCCTATCTAAACTACCTACCCCACAATTAGCTTATTGGTCATTTCACATATTCAATCAACTTTAAGCTATCAGCTATTTACCAAACACTTTTATATAATCAGTTAATACAATAAGTTAGTCAAATCAGTTAATAAAATCGGCTAGTCAAAATCAGCTAACTCGATCAGTTTCAACTTTTAGCTTTCAACTTTCTCCCAAACAGGGCCCTTAGCTTTTGTCATTGTAAATGTTATCATCTTATTAATTACATGCTATAATTAATTAATTAAAATGGAAAGATGAGATGCTTAGCATAATTTAATGACAAAGAGAGCCACATCAGCATGACCTGTAAAGTGGAAATTTCCATCTCGGATTCTTTTGACTTTTACAACTTCCAAACTTTACCCTATTATTAATGAATTATAATTTTATTATATAGTTGTATTTAATCTCATAGAAGAATAATTCAGTTCATGCTTTTGCCTTATTCATATTCATATGACCTAGTTTCTTAGCTTTTTATCGTCATCACAGCATCAAATTTTGTTTTTGTATTTAAGAAGATGACAAGCTAAGTATAAAGTACGAATTTTTCACCCAAGAAAAATTATTTTAAAACACCTCATGTTCCAAAGTAATGGTCATTGTATGTATCTAGACCTTTATAATAGTTTATGACATAATAAGATATGATTTTTAATAATTGAATTCTTAAAAATTCTCTCCAAACAATTTTAGTAAGAAAGGATGTGACCACTGTATAGTATAATAAGTTTGAAGGTTTAATAAGATAGCAAAATCAATTACTATATAGACTACCAAATACAAAGTATTACGGAGTAAAAAAAGAATTTATTTTCCTAATACCAAAAATAGTATTATATTACTTGATATATATTTCAAGAATTTCAGCTAGAGAGATTTCATAAAATGATAAAATGCTAGCTTAATGGAAAAAAAATGAGGGATAGATGTTAAAAATTAATGTTATTGTCACATATATTAACAAACTCAATCAGGGATTGGGCACTGTGACAAGACATGCATAATTATTTATGTAAAATGATACTCCATAAATGATAAACTCAATCATAAATTTGATAGAGTTGGTTACATAAACTGAATACTAAATATTAACTTGAAAATACGGAGTATGTATATTGTGTAGTGTGTACACTATATAGTACTCCCTCTATTCCAGAATAAGACACAATCAAACTTTACAGACATGGTGATGTATTAGTTTGACCTTATTTTATATAATTAAATATTAATGAAATTATATATATATAAGAAAAAAAAAAGTTAGGGTATGAAAATTTATATCAATACCTATCTAGCAACATATTTTTGATATTATGTTAATAAAAAAAAAATATAGTCAAAATTAATTTGTAAATAGTGAAAAAAGTTAAAACGTGTTAATTATTATGCGACGGATGGAGTATATGTATTTAAAATAGTATTATGAAAAGTGAAATATGTTAAAAATAGTACCTACTCTACCCCAAATTAAGGCATTGATGACTTTTCAAAGTAAAATTTTGTATATGACTGTATCATATAAGCTATTGTTGGATATCTTTTCATTTGTATTTTGGTTTTTTTTATTGTCAAAATATAAAAATCGTACACTCTTTGAAATCAATTGTTACACATAATTTAAAATAGAGAGTAACACAATAACGCACTTTAGAATTTAGAAGCCAGAAGGAATTATTTTTTTTTTTTTTTGAAGTAAGGGTTTTGGATGTAGTTCAAAATCTGAAGCATGATGCATTGAATAACCGTTCTCTGATTTAATTGTGTTTTGTTACAATCATGCTCATTAGTATCTCTCACATGGATTTTGGCTTTATTTATCTTAGATTTATGAGCCCATATATATATATATATATATACATACGATCTTGCTAACGAGCGCCCCGGGGTGTTAGATAAGGATAAATTATATTGGTTGAAATGGTATTAAGTTAGGAATTCGTGACAAAATCACGCGTCGTTCGGTGTAATTAATGTTAATTTTACTCTAATATTTGCACTTTATTTCTCTTATCTAACGCCCCGGGACGCTCATTAGCTTTTGCCAAATACATATATATATTTTTTTACATTCTTTCTAATTCTTTAACGTGAGCACTGAGCAAGTTATTGTCCTACTACAACGTCCACAAGACTACAAGAGATGGGTAACAACACCCATTTCATTTACTACCTCCGATACAGGTTATGTGCAACGATTAGACATTTTTCCTCTCTGCTTTATGTCAAATCGTTGGATATAACCTGTAACGGAGGTAGTATGTTCAGTTGTTCCATTCGGATACTTGACTAGTTGACTGTATGCAACTCATTATTAGATGGTTTCTACTCTTTGGCGCGGTTGTACCTTTCTACTTTGTTCATGCTACTAGGAAAATATTACATAGTCGTTTATTTTAATTAGAAAAATTATCTATTTTTTGATGTTATTAACCCCCCTCCCCCTCCCATCTAAATGATCGCAATTCGCAAATACATGTTTAATTCACCACTACAACTCTTAGATGATTTTTATACTCATTAATCGTTTGCCTTCTTTGGCAAAAGTTTACAAATCTATGTTGATAAAGTAGAAAGACTTCTTTGGAAAAAGAGTCAAACGTTGTCATATCTCCATACTTTCAAGTTGCTGATTTTAAAAATGTAGGAAATCGTAAAAATTTACATTAGAAAATCGTAAAAAATTAAGAAATCATAAAAATATAAACACTAATTACACTGATTTGCGTGTGTTTTTGTCATGAATTTCTAATTCTATACAATTTCCAAGTATGCCGTATGTTATTGTTGTTATTCATTGATCATATTGTATAATTGTATGCTTGAAAATTGTGTAATTAAAGATTTAAAGGGCATTGGGCTTCACAGTTTACACAGATGCCATAGGGACATCCCCCTTTGCTATAAATATTAGGATGAGCATGTTAGTATGTTGAATTGCATGTTCCAGAAAGGTTCAATTCACTTCACTTATCCATGTATGAGTGTATACCCATCCGCATTTAATTGTTTAGGGTAATAAAATATGTGAATTACATTTAATTTGTCTGTATTTTTTTTCATATGGTAAATACTAAATAGACAAATTAGACATGTTGGTAATTTATAGATTGCATTATAGGGTATCTCGTAATTATATGCATTTAAGTTCTAACTCCTGACAAATAACTTCGGATTTGATTCAATAAAAAAGCAATTTGTTGGGTTTTAATAGTAATACGTTCAAGAAAGCTAATTGATGTAACTCTTGTTTACTTTGTCTTATCTTAAACAAAAATGAGTTTCAAACAAACTTTTATGATCTTAAAAGAAAATTTAATACCGAGTATTAACTTTTTTTTTAAGGTCCAAAGCAGTGGATTATAACGTTCAATTTTGAAAACTTTAGACTTTTTTAGCGTCAAAGCGTCAAAAAGAAAGAGGTTGAGATAATTTCCATGAATCCAACAAGCTCCCTTAAAGTTATTTGGGTGGTTGGAACCAATAACCTCGCCTTTAAGCAGGCAATTTAGCTGATCATGTACACATTTCTCTTCATAAACTATATGACTGAAGGTATGTAAGTGAGTATTGAGATTTCAACACTGAATCTCGAAATCTCTGATATTATTGTGACTTTATAGATCTATAAGCCTTAATCATATTTTGTAATAGAATTTCATAATTATGTTTAATGTATATGTCAATTTTAATCCTTTGGTCATCAAATATATAAATCTAAGTGCATTATAAATTTGTTAAATAAATTAAAATATTATTACGGTATGGCCAGATATTATCATTGCCCGGGGAAAAAAAAATATTTTGGCCTATTAAATAAACTCATAAAAGAAAATTGGTGTAATTTTAACACAATTTCTTATACGTGGCAAGTCATCATAGGTGTTACTTCGTTAGTGTTATAAGAATTACTCGGTCGATGCTACAAGATTATTTTATCAACATTACAGAGTTATTCGATCAATGTTAAAAGAGTTATTTTATTCTTTTTGCAAGTGGTTACATGACGTGGTTGGCCGCACAAAAAACGCGTTATAATTTTAAAAGCTAGGACAATGACAACATTATTAAGATGATGTACATTATAACATTTGTACTAATATAAAGTAAATAACTTACAATATGAAACTAAAGTAGCCTTCCAAAAACTAAAAATGAAAAAACATAAAACCCTAACTTATCTTTGATTAAGCAGATAAAAATTTCTACCCAACCAAACTTAAAGTAAGATCCTAATACAGTGTATTGACAATATGACATGATAAAAACAATATTAACAACTTGCCACCCCTGCAAATGTCACAAAAACCCAATTTGCAGAACTAAGAATCAAAGGCAAGAATCAAATATTAGCCCAATCAATCTCAAAGGAAGGAAACTTGTTCAATGAAAAACTATTAAATTCATCCCAAGAAGATTCAGTAAAATCAATGAACGTAACGCCGGATTCCGGGGAACACGAATTCGTAGATGAATCATCTGAAACCACAGGTAAAACCTCGGCTTTAGGAACCAAAACTTGAGAAGAACTCGATGAAGCATTCTCTTCAATTTGGTAAGAAACAGAGGAAGAAACAGGGGAAAAACAGGGTTCCTCTGTTTTCCCCTGTTTTAAGGAAATATCCAAACTTTGACAAATAGCTTCAAGTTTAGCATTCACAGTAGAATGAAGTGGCTTATAATGACCAAATTGAGTGGTTACATAAGCTCCATGATGCTTAATATGAGGTAAGTTTAGACGAGCAAACTCTCCTCGAAGCTTATATGCCGCATTGTCGTAAGCTAAGGCAGCTTCTTCGGCTGTTTCGAATGTTCCGAGCCAAAGCCGAGTTCGATTCTTAGGCAATCTAATTTCCGCAACCCATTTTCCCCAATGTCTTTGTCTTACACCCCTGTATAATTTTGTGGATTTGTTTTGTTTCATCAAAGTTGGCTTAGGAGAAAGAAGATGATTGGTTCTATAATTAGAGCTTGAAGAAGGAGGAAGCTGAATTGAAGGGTTTTGAGGAATACCCATTTGATTAAACTCTTGATTAAACAAGTAAATGTTCTTGTTTAAAGGATATGAATTGTAAAACAGAGATGAATTTGAGGGTGTTTGTTGGAGTTTGATTTGTTCTTCTTTTAAAGGATTCAAAAGAAGAGGTTTGTTGGTATCATTGTTGTAAAAATCTAAAGCAGTAGCCATGCTAAATTTGTAAGTATTTCAAGTTAAGATTGAAGAAATTTAAGGATTTGAGAAAGAGAAGAATGAAGAAAGTTGTTAAATTGGTTAATGGTTTGTTTTATGAGAGTAGTAGTGAGTGGTGAAGGGCAGGTAGTCTTATATATAGTCCATAAACAACCGTGGGAAGGGAATGGACAATGGAAGAGGAGAGAGAAAGAATTATTCTTTTACTTTACTTAACAATTACTCTTCTTTTTTGTCAACTCCTTTTCTTTTTTCTTTATTTTTACTTCCTTTCTCACCCTTTTTTTTTTTTTTTTTTTTTTTTTTTTTTTTTTTTTGAGGAAAGTCCTTTCTCACTTCTTTGATTAATTGATTTATTCGCAACGTATTTTTGTAATGCGAATTTTATGCATTTGTTTACATAATACTGAGTATTAAATGTTAATGAATATTTATACATTTTGTCAAACTAAAACTATGAATTATGTTTGAAGATTTTCGATATATTAAGGACTGTTATTCTAATTTTACACATTCAATTAATTAAGTTTTATGACCATCTACAAACAAAATATTCTATAAATATAATCATATTGTTAATTCTCCTAATAAGAGCAGTTTTATAATAATTATAGTACAATGGAATATGAAAGCTTGATCAACTTATTATAAATTATGAGTGGTTATTATGGACTTAGCATGATTCCAACAAAATGCTCTTACAATAGTTATACCATCCAAAATTTTATATTTATTCAATTTAGTTGAAGTACCCAAAGTTTTTAAATTGAAAGATGGAGCCTAATATTGATAAAATAGTCAATAATTTTAGATCCTTTTAAGCAAGTACTCTTCATTAGTTTATAAAGAGTACAGTTTGTTACTCCATATAACCTTAAATATCATGTGCTTCGTAATTTAAAATGAGGAAAATGCTATCTTATAGAAGAGGTTATTGGAAAAGTGAATAGATTTAACCAATTAATGATCCTACGTAATGATCATAACCTAAAATTGAAATAAAACAGTGATCACTTTTTCTAAGCGATGTTATAGTTGGTTCATTATCCTCAACCTATAAAAATGTAAAATGGTTGACTTGATGGATTTTTTATTCATGATCCACCCCAAAAAAATGAATTAAAAAACTTACGTCCAACACCACAATAGTAGTATAAATGTTGGTAAGATGAAAAATGAAGCATTATTGTCCAGCCAAATTTAAGTGGAGTTGACACGCATTATTCTATATTATCACTTGAAAAAGCCAAGTCAAATAGGTTACGGGTATTAGAAGACTATCCAACAATCATTAAGATAAGCTAGTCATAGCCATTTCCCACTCATACCTACTACTTTATTATAAGACGGCAGGGAGAGTAATTTGTATTAATCCTTTTTATAGACGTAATAATAAAATAAAACCTCCCTTTTATTTTAACTTAAGAATAATACTAGACATTGTTCTAATACTCCTTTGTAGATATCTTAAAAACTAACCTGATCAAATCGCAATCTTATAATATTAAAAAAATATGGCTCGAAAAAATATTAAACACATTTGACTTGCGTTAAAACAAATATGATCTACTACACCACCTTTATATGAAATGACCTGAATTGATTATACCCGATCTTTAATCAACAAAAAACCCCAATTCGACATATCTACTTAAGAGGTGGTTTTTTTTTTTCTTTTTTGAAACACTTATGAGGTTGTTTGGTTCAACAGATGGTATATGTTTCGAATCAAAAAAAAAAAAAAAAAAAAAAAAGGTGATATGGGATTGAAACTTAATTCTTAGTACTTTATGTTTAATTATTGTGTCAGTAATGATTTTTTTTTGTTTTATTCGGTACGAAGTTCCATGAGTTTGGTGCTAAGCTATACACACCTCCCCTTAGATTTTTAAACCCCATACCTTGTTGGTTTGAGGTATAGGTTTAGAAATTAAAATCTTCTTAAATCACTACAAACTCATATCTCAACCTACTCCCTACAAACCAAACCCCTTACAAGTAGAGTTGTCAATTTGGGTAAATGGGACGGGTTTGGGTCAGGTAAGAGTAGGTGGGGTCAACTCGAGTCGGGTCAATTCGGATTAAATCCATAACCTATGCGGGTCGGGTTTGGGTTGGGTCATGCTTGAGTAGGGTCATGTCGGGTCATACTTCTTATCGGGTTTGGGTCGAGTTTAGATCGGGTTAATAACAGGCGGGTTATATTCAGGTCGAGTGAACAATAGGTCGGGTTTAATTCGGGTTAAAACGGGTTAGGGTAATTCTCGGGTTCGAATCGGGTTCGTTTCAAGTCAATAATTTGCGGGTTAGAATCAGGTCGGGTCATTCTCTAGTTTAAGTCAAGTTCGGTTCAAGTCAATAATTAGTGAATTATAATAAGGTCGGGTCATTTTCAAGTCACGTCATTCTCGGTTCAAGTCGGAATTGATTCAAGTCAATAATTTGCGAGTTATAATCAGGCTGGGTCATTTCTAAGTCAGGTCATTCATTCTAGGATTCAAGTCGGGTTATGTTCAAGTCAATAATTTGCAGGTTACAATCAGGTTGGGTTATTTCCAAGTCAGGTCATATTCGGGTTCAACTAACTATAATTGATAATTATCATTTTTATCAAGCTAATTATTTCCTTTGACTATAATATATGGCAATATACTAGGGAACTATAGTCTATAATTTAGGAAGATAATTATCTCCTTTGACCATACAACAAATATATACTATATTTAACACTTAGCTTAAATTTAAGGATAAAGCTCCTTTCTTTTGCTGGCCTGGACCAACTTGGTCTCCCTAGACGAAATGCTTTGATCAACAATAATAAGGTGGTCTAAATTGCATTTAAGGTGATTTGAAATCGGGTCAGGAACAATTTGGGTTGAAATTAAGTTAGGTTCAGTCAATAACAAGTTGTGTTGATTTCGAGTTGGGTTAGTAACAGATCGGGTTGGATTTTTGGGTCGAGTTAGTAATGGGTCTGGTAAAATTCAAGTCGGGTCAGTCGGATTGAATTTAGGTCAAGTCAACAACAAGTCGGGTAGGGTTTGTAACGGGTCAAGTTAAATTCAGGAAAAGGAACGGGTCGAGTTGAATTCAAGTCAAGTTAGTAACAAGTCGGGTTTAATTCGGGTTTTGACGGGTTAAAATAGGTCAATTTCGGTTCAAGTCGATTTGTCATAAATGTTCGTAGTAGGCTTGAGTTAATGAAATCCGTGCAAGTTGTAAACCGGTAAATTGGACGTTTAAAGGCAAATTGGATGGTTCCACCAACCCAATCGGACTCCCAAAGGGTATTAGGGACCATGGTAAACATTTCGGCAATTTTTATTTCCGGACGAAAAAAGTAAAAAATTTAAAAATTGAAGGCTAATATCCACGCTCTTTGAGAAATATTGGAGGTTTCGGGGCCCGGTGTCGAAAATTATTGTAATTCTATGGGATACATCTCGAATCATATAATGTCGTTTGGAACCATATATGATCATTATTTGTTGTCATGAATGTTCGTGGTAGGCTTAAATTAATGAAATCGGTGCAAGTTGTAAACCGGTAAATTGGTCGTTTAAAGGCAAATTGAATGATTCCAGCCACGCAATTAGACTCCCGGAGGTTATTAAGAATCATGGTAAACATTTCGGAAATTTTTATTTCAGGGTGAAAAAAAAGTCAAAAAATTCAAAAATTGAAGGCTAATATCCACGCTTTTTGAGAAATTTTGGAGGTTTCAGGGCCCGGCGTAGAAAAGTCTTCATATTTTAAGAGATACATATCGGGATCATATAATGTCGTTTGGAACCATATATGATCATTATATTTGTCATAATGTTTGTAGTAGGCTTGAGTAAATGAAATTCGTGCAAGTTGTAAACTAGTGAATTGGTCGTTTAAAAACAAATTAGATGGTTCCACCAACCCAAATGGACTCCCGGATGGTATTAAGGACCATGGTAAACATTTCGGCAATTTTTATTTCCGGGCGAAAAAAAGTAAAAAAATTTAAAAATTGAAGTCTAATATCCACGCTTTTTGAGAAATTTTGGAGGATTCGGGGCCTGGTGTCGAAAAGTCTTGAAAATCTAGTGGATACATCACGGGGTCATATAATGTCGTTTGTATCCATATATGAACATTATTTTTTGTCATAAATGTTCGTGGTAGACTTGAATTAATGAAATCAGTGCAAATTATAAACCGGTAAATAGGTCCTTTTAAGGCAAATTGGATGGTTCCACCGGCCCAATTGGACGCCCTAAGGGTATTAGGGACCATAGTAAACATTTCGGCAATTATTTTTTATTTTCGGGCGAAAAAAAGTCTAAAAATTACAAAATTAAAGGCTAATATCCACGATTTTTGAGAAATTTTGGAGTCTTCGGATCCTGTGTCTAAAAGTATTGAAATTCTGGTGAATAAATTTCGGGGACATATAATGTCGTTCGTAACCATATATAATCATTATTTGTTGTCATAAATGTTCTTGGTAGGCTTGAATTAATGAAATCGGTGCAAGTTATAAACAGTTAAATAGGTCGTTTAAGCAAATTGGATGGTTCCACCCACTTAATTGGACTACGGAAGGGTATTAGGGACCATAGTAAGAATTTCGACAATTATTATTTCCGGGCGAAAAAAAAAGTCTAAATATTCCATAATTAAAGGCTAATATCCACGCTTTTTGATAATTTTTGGAGGTTTCGGAGCCCGGTATCGAAAAGCCTTGAGAATCTAGGGAATATATCTCGAGGTCATATAATGTCATTTTGAAACCATATATGATCATTATTTGTTTTCCTAAATGTTCGTGATACGTTTGAATTAATGAAATTGGATGGTTCCATCAGGTCATATACGTTTGTTTTCCTAAGTTGGACGTTGAAAGACAAATTGGATGGTTCCATCCACTCAATTGGACTACCAAAAGGTATTAGGGACAATAGTACACATTTTGACAATTTTTATTTTCAAGCGAAAAATAAAACAAAAATTTCCAAAATTATAGAATGTCCACACTTTTTGAGAAATTTTAGACGTTTTGAGGCCCGGTGTCGACAAGCCTTGAAATTTTAGGAGATACAGCTCGAGGTCATATGATGCCGTTTGGAACCATTTATGATCATTATATGTTGTCTTAAATGTTCGTGGTAGGCTTGATTTAATGAAATCGGTGCAACTTGCAAACTGGTAAATTGGCCGTTTAAAGTCGAATTGGATGGTTCCATCCATCCAATTGGACTCCCGGAGGGTATTAGGGATCATGTTAAACATTTCGACAATTTTTATTTTTGGGCGAAAAAGTCAAAAAATTCAAAAATTAAAGGCTAATATCCATCTTTATGAGAAATTTGGAGTCTTCAGTGTCTTAAAGTTTTTAAATTTTAGGGTATACATCTTGTAGTCATATAATGTAATTTGGAACCATATGTAATCATTATATGCTATCATAAATGTTCGTGGTAGGCTTGAATTAATGAAGTCGGTGCAAGTTGTAAATCGATAAATTGGTCGTTAAATGCAAATTGGATGGTTCCACGTACCAAATTGGCTCCCAAAGGGTATTAGGGACCATGGTAAACATTTCGTCAATTTTTATCTCCGGGTGTAAAAAAAGTCTAAAAAAATTCCAAAATTTAAGGCTCTAATATCCACGCTTTTTGAGAAATTTCGAATGTTTCGAGCCTGTTGTCGAAAGCATTGAGATTATAGGGGATACATCTCGAAGTCATATAATGCCGTTTGAAATCATATATAATCAATATATGTTGTCATAAATGTTTGTGGTAGGCTTGAGTTGATAAAATCGGTGCAAATTTTAACCCGGTAAATTAGACGTTTAAAGGCTAATTGGATGGTTCCACCTAGCCAATTGGATTCTCGGAAGGTATTAGGGATCATGGTAAACATTTCGGCAATTTTTATTTTCGGTGAAAAAAATCTAAATATTTCAAAATTAAAGGCTAATATCCACGCTTTTTGAAAAATTTTGGAGGTTTCGACTACAAGTAACCCAAAATAATTTAATGTTAAGTTGTAAAAGAAAATCCGGACCCAACATATTCAAGTACATCCCAATAAGCAAATATAGACTTGAACTTTTGAAGTCCAAAGCAAATACTCTGTATGATTTAAGGGTTATCCCAACAGTTGTTATTTGACTTTTCCTTACATGAGAGATTAGGGGTACATATAGGTATGGGCAATTGGGCATGTGTCAAACTATTACCATTGTAGCTGCTTGCAAAGAAACAAAGTCACTCCTATAACACTGACAGAGTTACCTCTATAACACTAAATGGATAACCCCTATAAAACTAATAAAATACTCCCTCCGGTTTTTTTTAATGCATCACTTGAGAATTTGCACTATTTATATGTTACATTTGAAAAATAATTTTTGTTATTAGATTTATTTTTAATATCATTTTGTAAAATATATATCCCCTGCACCTCGTGCAAAATGCACGGGTACACCCTAGTACAAGGAGTACAAAGTAAGAAAACTAGGTATCAGTGAATCAACACAAAGTAGTCATTGATGCTCATTCACCAGCATACAGAATTTTCAAGAAAAAACTATTGTATTGTCCAACGAACTAGAAAGTACATAAGATACGAGACTTTTCCCTGTAACCAGACTCTCATCGAAAATAAGTGAAAACTCCAAAGTAAAACAAACCGCAACAGTTAGTGCAAACCCATAAGATTTAGGAATATACAAGAGCATTTGCTAACTAAACAAGGAAGACTTAGGAACGAAACACCTGAATTTTCTACTTGTCATGCAATAACAGGAGCACCAGAATCACCTTCCCTCTTGTGGTTGTTTTTTTTTATACGAGTATAACAAGTGTTAGGTATTCAGAGAAAAAGTCTCAGTCCCAAAAGAGGGTCCAAAGCAGGATTCAGTACACATTGTCTAACTCTTAAACATCCGACTAAACTTTCAGAAAATGTTTGAAAGAACATTCGCATAAATTGAGTCATGAGCATTTATTTGCACTAAACTACAAGTATATCCTTACAGCGTGATTCATGCTATATCAGGGTGGTTAAGGAGAACAGGAATGCAATTCAACTCAAATTCATTACCCAAATAAGGATGGTAGCATTAACCCGGTAACACAATTTCCATTATCACCTTTAGCAAATTGTGTTACTGGCATAATTTTGTAGTATTACATTGATACAGCTACTACAGACGCTAATGACATCACGCAGGGATGTGCTTTGGGCTATTAAACAATCCTAAGTTGAGATGTGGGGAAGGAACAAGACAAACCTGCAGAGACCAAACTTCCTAGACTATCGTACGATCAGAAGTATCTGACGAACATTGTTGCACATCTGATGGCACTCCGTTGATCATCTCTAAATTCATCTTATAGTCCTCTCTTAAATCTTTCAATGCAAGAAAATTGTTTTGCTGCAAGAAAATGAAATGTGTAAATAAGACCGGAAACCAATAGATGGTGGGTCAATATACTTGCAACAAATAGATCAACAGAATTATAAGATATGAGTATAAGAAAGAACATAATGCATATGGTTATGCAGTGCATATAACTAATATAAGCATTCAGACATTACTTTCAAAGTATGACAAAACTTACTAGTTGATTGCCTTCATTAACGTACATATCCTCCATGTGAAGAAATAGGGACCTCCAATGATTCATGAGATCAGTCTCTATTTGTGTGACGTTAGTTAAATTCTCTTGGCTATGGCTTCCAATTTCATTTTCTGCCGAGTATTTCTGAGCCAACTTGCTTGCTTCCTTCTGACTTTTCTCCATTACTGAGAATAATTGAACTATAACTGTTAATAATTGAAAATTATTGTGTCAAGCAATCAAACTGTTAGTAATAGATAAAGTGGCATGTAGTTTACCTGATATCCGGCCTTTCACGTCCTGATAATGCAGATCAGACCATATATAAGCAGCTGTTATCCAAAACATCAATAATAAAATCAATTCCACTAATTACATAGAATTATCTCATTCGATTTGCCATTAAAAAATATATATAGCTTGCACATACCTTTTGTACAAAAAGAGCATGAGCAATGCTTAAGCAAATCTACACCACTACCATCCTCTTTTAGTGATGTGCATCTCTCCAATCCAAATCCTTTCATCTCGTTCAATCTCGAACTCACAACTGATTCAGACTGACTAGTTTTCAAGCACTCAGCACCAGGATTCATACCATGGTCACTCGCAGCTCCGGTACCACCTAGCACTTCATGAGCACAATCATTTCCCACAGAATCAGAAATTTCCCTAACTTCCTCCCCTTGACATTCCTTCCCACCCTCAACACAATCCCTCTCACAACATTTCGAGCTCTCACCGGCTTTCACCTCCGAAACACAACCTTCTTTCACAGTCTCACCCACATTAACAACGTCCAAATCTATGCTATCCAATGCATAACTAGCAGTCTCTTTACACTCACTAGCAACATTACTAGGCATACCCTTTCGAGTATCGCCGGAAGTATTAAGCAATCGGTAAGTCTTGCCGCCCCTCAACGGCGACAACCCGACTTCATTAACAATTTTAGGGCATTTTGCCGGAGTACCATTCCTCTCTTTCTCTAATTTCTCAACAACCAAAGAAACTTGCTTCCAGAAATTAGAATCACTATCTGTATCATCCGCATTTTGACTATCACTGCTCTTAGATTTAGAAGGCGGACTACGAGAAATCAAAGAAAACCCTCGTTTTCCAAGTTGATTTGTGATATTACCCAGTACAGGACGATTCTCCTTTTCGTGTAACTTTTCAGATTTATCTTCCCCCATTAATTTATTCTATTAAAAAAAAGCTACCCAGATATGAAATCGCGATACCCAGAAAATACCCAGATATGAAATCGATTGAATTTTTAAACCCTAATCGCAAATTTACACAACAAAATCAATATAATTGCTAAAAAAATAAAACTGATTTACAAGGATTTACGACTACAGATGAATCGATTGAAAGCACTGACCTTTGGAGAGAGAAAATCCGGAAAACGGCGACAATTGAAAGTGGTTGTTGAACACTGTAGAAATTCGCGCGGAAAAAATGGAAAATTGGGGGAAAATGGAAGGAAGAAAAAATGGGTGAATTTGGATTAGAGGGTTTACAAGGGTTTGGAAATGGAAAATGTGGAGGAGGGAAAGAGCGGGGATTGGAGAAGAAGAAGAAGGCGATTTCAATTGTTGGGGCGGGAACACTTTTACTGGATGTTGTAAATTTGAGTTCGGAATTCGGGATTTCTAATTCAATTGACCCGCCAGGAGAGTGTTTATGTTTTTCAAATTTCAGCCAAATCCATACGACCATACGTGCTCGCTGGTTGTTACGGATGATATGAGTCGGGTCGTGTCGGGCTAACACTTGTATACGAAGTGCTTGTATTGGATGAGTCAAGTTGAAAAAACCCTACTTAGTCAAATAAGTTGAACACTTGATGCACAAACTCGGGTTATTTTGTTTCGATTTGAGCCTTTGAGGTAGTGCTAAATTTCACAATATCTGTTTTGTAAGCATGTACGTTATTCTTTTTAGGGTTTTGAAATTCAAAGGCATAAGGAAATTAACTAGCAAGCAACTTCCTCCCACATATGAGGATAATATTATAGAAAGTGTAAATGTGTAATTTTTGTGTTATGTCCAAAAAATAAACCCCCCCCCAACCCCCAATATATATATATATATATATATATAAATATATATATATATATATATATATATATATATATACTGAACTGAGTTGAGTTGAAATGAACTGAACTGAACTGATTGGAGCTAAACTGAACTGAGCTAAAATGAATATGTTATGAGAGAGGAAAATTAGGGACTGGACTGAACTGAATTGAACTGAACTGAAATTAAGTAAATGTGAACAGACCCTTAATAGATTTTCAATTCTTACTTCCCACCTTATATGTTTATTTCATGGCCTTTTTCTTATGATTTAAAACCATTTAAATAGCATATTAACCATGTGGGTAATTCCAATAGGTTAAATTTTAAACAATTAGGTTGTTACATGATTCCCCCTAAGTAGCCCACAATTGACACAAATCAATTTATTTTTTTCCCAATACAATCATTAACATGAATATTAATAAATTAACAAAATATATAAATTAAATATCATGAGACGTAGGTGAAATTGATAGTCATATGCCAAATTAATTTTAAGAGCTTAATCCTAAACAAGCCCATACAAAATAGGTATTATTTCAACTGTCAACTACACATTTTTATCACCTGAAATCGGGAAGGGAACTCTAACCACTTGAGCTATCTCTCACACTCTCAACTACGCATTTTTAAATATGTGTATTTGAGTTATTGTTGAAATTTTGTCATGCGAGCCTATTGCCTCTAATTTAGCATTTTCTATTTATTTTTTTTATTTTTCTTTTATTTGGGACAATAAGTTCAATAAACAAAAAAGCAAATTACAACTTAAGCCTATGAGGGATTGAAAACAACAAAGCACATTGGTTTTAAAAAAAAAATAAAAAAAATAAAGCACAAATTAAACTTAAAAAGAAAAAAGTATACCGGATGATCCGCATCAACACCACACACCATTTAACCAAAAGAACAAACTATATTGAAAAATAATGCAACTATGGCTCTATGAAGTTAGCAAAAAGTTTGGCAAAAGTTAAGGTGATCACCTTTTACGAAAGACAAGTACATATTTACAATTTCACATACACCTTTTGCAAATTTGTCAAATAAAAGACTTGTTTTATAGTTCAAGTACGAGAGAAGACCCCGAGTTAATGAGAGCCCGACCTGATCCGACCAAAATGACCCAATATCATTTTAATTTGACCCATTTATCATATTTTGTAATGATGTATACGATCTCAAACACTCTAACCAAACAACCCGAAATTTATCTCAAACCCGACCTGTTGATTTGAATGGACAAGTCTAGTTGTCACCACTCTGACCAACCTTTAGTACAAGCATAAAACAACGCAGAACACCTTGATTCATTCCTAATTTCCAACTAGCCACTTGCTAGCAGTTAATTTACCTTGATCACAAGCTTCCGTCCTATCCAGCTCCTAAAGTTTCCGTCCTATCCAGTTCTATTGGACACCAGACCCCAGCCACGTCAGCTCGAGGTTGTTAGAGTTAGTTACGACAGGGCTGTAACAACTTAATATTCTGTTACAACAGATTCTGAGCTTCCTGTATTTACTTCTAGATTTCCCTAGAAAGTTCTGATTTATTGTTGTAGTATATATTCTTAGATGATGTAAGAATTATTCATTCAATCAAACACAAATAGATTTCATTTTCTTTTTCTCCAAGTTTTTCTCTGTATTTTTCTCTGATATTCTTCTTATAGTTTTTCCAGAATATTTCAGATCTTCCTGTTTTTGTTCTTCCAGATTTTGTTCTTCCAGATTTTGTGTTTATACAAAATCTGTCATGGTATCAGAGCAGAAGATCTAACATGTGATTCTTCCTGCTTGATTTCCGCACTGTTTTTGATCTAGTTTTACCTGAGTTTTTCATCGTTGATTCCTCATTTTTCTTCCTGAAATTCTTTATTCTGATCTGAATTTTTCACTGATTTTTTCCTGATTACTTGAGATTCTCAGTTCATCTGCGAATTTCTTGAATTGATTCTGATCTTTTGCAGTCATTTGATTAATTTTTCTAATCTACTGAAGGCATGGCAGCGAGCAATTTACCTCCTAATCAAGATCCAGCAAGCATCTACTATATTCATCCTTCAGATGCTAATGCAATTCAACTTGTTTCTTACAAGTTTAATGGTGAAGGTTTTTCCAGCTGGAAGAGATCTATGCTATTAACTCTCTCAGCTAAGAACAAGCTAGGTTTCGTCAATGGAACCATTTCTAAGCCTACTGCAGGAACAATTGAAGGAAAGGCTTGGGAGAGATGCAATGATTTAGTGTGTTCTTTGATTTTATACAATCTGGATGAATCTATTGCTAAGAGTGTGATGTTTCTGAAGTCTGCTGAAGAAATTTGGACTGATCTTGATGAAAGGTTTGGCTATGCTTCTATGGCTCAGATCTATTCTCTTGAACAAAAACTGGTTGATATTAGTCAAGGTGATAAGTCAGTTTCAGAATTCTTCACTGATATCAAATCAGTTTGGGATGAAATTGAAGAAGCTCATCCTCTACCTTATTGCACCTGTAATAACTGCACATGCAATCTCACTAAGAAGATCTTTCAGCGCCAGCAAGAGAAAATGGTTCTACAGTTCATGATGAAGCTCAATGATCAGTTTGCTACTATCAGAGGCAACATACTGATGATGCAGGCTTTGCCTAAAGTTACTGAAGCATTTTGACTGTTTGCTCAAGAAGAAAGACACAGAGAAATTTCACAAGCTACTGAACACTCTGAATCATCAGCCTGTGCTGCAGAAAAAAGGAAGTTCAATTCAGATTTTGGGAGAAACAAGTCTTACAAACCTCATAATCAAGGTTTTCAGAACATGTTCAACATTACTTCTTCAGGAAATGCTGGTGCAAATAGTTCTATTACTGGAGCTTCTTACAGAAGAAATGGTTCAAAGGCTGGTGCTAATTACTTCTGCACACATTTCCAAATTCCAGGGCATAGTGTAGACAGATGCTTTGAACTTAAAGGATATCCTCCAGGTTTCAAAGGAAATCGTGTTGCTGCTGTCTCAGAATTCTCAGGCAAGAATGATAGCAGTACTACTGCACCTGTTTCAATGGAACAATACCAGCAGTTCATGGAGTTTCTAGCAAAGCAAAATCAGGAAACTCAGGACAATCCATTGTGAACAGCAGAACAATCTAGCCATGATGGCAGGTAACATTTGCTTATTGTCTCATTCTAATCATAAATGGCTGCTTGATAGTGGAGCTTCAGATCATTTTTGTTATGATTTAGCTCAATTATCTGAATATCACACAGTAACAGGTGCTGGTAATTACATTACTATACTAGATGGTAGTAAAATTGATGTTAAACACATAGGGTCAGCCAAGCTGAATGATTCTATAACCCTAACTAATGTGTTACATGTTCCTGATTTTCAATATAACCTGATTTCTGTTCACAAGTTGTGCAAGGATCTGAGATGTGAATTGCATTTTACTCATGATAAATGCTTTGTTTATTCTCAGAAAGGGACATTGATTCCTCTTGGTAGTGTGCAGTCTGGTTTATATAATGTGGGAGATCATTTACAGTCAAGCTCAAAGGAGTTACAGGCTCATGTTTGCAGTTCAGTTTGCTTATCTGCTATTGATGATGCTAAACTTTGGCACTTAAGGCTAGGTCATTTACCTTTTAGTCAAATAAAACACATTGTTCCAGATTGTAATGTGACTGATTGTATACAGAACACAATCTGTCAAGTGTGTCCTGTTGCAAAACAGACTAGGTTATCTTTTCCTAGCAGTAGCATTAAGACTACTTCAGTTTTTGAATTGTTGCATATTGATGTTTGGGGTCCACACTCTGTAAAGACTCCAACTGGCTGTAATTAGTTTCTCACAATTGTTGATGATTATAGCATATTTACTTGGATTCATATGTTAAAAAATAAAAATGATTCTGTTTTGGTTATGAGAGATTTCTTGAAAATGGTTACCAGCCAGTTTGGTGTAGTTGTGAAATGTGTGAGATCTGATAATGCTAAGGAACTTTGTGAGGGAGATATAAAAAAAAATGTTCCTTGAGTTTGGCATTTTGAGTCAAACAAGTTGTAGTGATACTCCACAAAAAAATGGGGTAGTTGAAAGGAAACACAAACACCTCTTGGAGACAGCTAGAAGTCTATACATTCAGTCTATAGGGTACCTGATAGGTTTTGGGGTGAAAGTGTGTTGTGTGCAGCCTACTTAATTAATACAATGCCCCTCAAAGTTTTAAACCATGAAGCACCCTTTTCCAAGCTTTATAAGAAACAAGCAAACCTTACTCATCTCAGAACATTTGGGTGCCTATGCTATGTTTCTACTTCCAAAGTTGGTAGAACTAAACTTGACAGTAGAGCTAAACCTTGTGTCTTTATGGGTTATTCTAATTCTCAGAAGGGTTACAAGGTTCTTGACTTGGAAACCTACAAAATGTTTTTTTCCAGAGATGTTCATTTTCATGAGAAACATTTCCCATTTCATCTTTACAAGAAGAAATCATCTCCCACCTCAAATTACTCAAATGCTATCTATCTTCCTGTTTCTTCTTCTCCTCCCATTTTTCCTGATATTTCTGATATTTCTTATTTCCCTTCTCATGATTCTACCTCACCTCACTCCTTTCAGTCTGATTCCAGTTCTCCAAATGATTCCTCTACTTCCACAAATTCTCATTTTTCTCATAATTCTACACCTACAAATTGTCATATTGATCTACCTCCTATTCTTCCTGTTCCTTTCTCAGATCTTGATTCTTTAATTGATACAAGTTCTTCACATACAGATTAGACTAGAAAATCATCTAGACCACATAAAGCACCATCTTACCTTGACAAATATCTCTGCTATCATGTTGATTCTACTCATGTGCATACAAATTGTGAGAGACATTGGTGTAATTTTGTCTCTTATCAAGGTTATCCTAGTTCTTTCAAGGCTTTTCTGTCTCATTTCTGTGACATCAAAGAACCTTTGAATTATCATGAAGCTTCTCAGGATCCCCTTTGGATTGAAGCCATGAATAAGGAAATTCTGGCACTTGAGCAGAATAATACTTGGGAATTAGTGGATTTATCTCCTAATAAAAGGGCTATTGGCAGCAAATGGGTTTACAAGGTGAAATTGAAAGCTGATGGTTCTTTAGAAAGGTGTAAAGCTAGATTGATGGCTAAGGGTTTTAATCAGAAATATGGAATAGACTATGGGGAGACTTTTAGTCCTGTGGTCAAAATGAGTACAATTAGATGCTTAATTGCTGTTGCTGCAAGTAAGAATTGGCCATTATTTCAACTTGATGTGAATAATGCCTTTTTACATGGCAATCTGAAAGAGGAAGTGTACATGAGAGTGTCTGATGGTGTGCCTAATCCAGAAAAGAAAGTGTGCAGATTGATCAAGTCTATTTATGGTTTGAAGCAGGCTTCTAGACAGTGGCATGAGAGGTTGATGAGTGCTCTGGAATCTCAGGATTTCAGGCAGTGCAAGCATGACTATAGTTTGTTCATTCACAAACATGATCAGCATGTTAATGTTGCTGCTGTTTATGTTGATGATGTGATTCTTACAGGGACTAATATTGAGAAACTGAATGCTTTGAAAAGGTTCTTGCACATGGAGTTTAGCATCAAAGATTTGGGAACTCTTAACTATTTTCTTGGGATTGAGGTAGGGTATATTGATGCTGGTATTATACTCAGTCAGAAGAAGTTTACTAGAGAAGTTTTGAGTGACTGTGGTTTTGACATCAGTAAAAAGGCAGTTACACCTTTTCCCTTAAATGGTAAATTGTCAGCTCTGGATGGCTCACCCTACTCTAATGCTGAGAAATACAGGTCATTGGTGGGGGTCATTGGTGGGAAAACTGAATTTTTTAACTCACACTAGGCCTGATCTTTCTTACACTGTTCAGGTTTTGAGTCAATTTTTACAGCATCCAAGGTCAAGTCATGTTGATGCTTTGGTGCATACTCTGAGATACTTGGCACATTCTGAAGGTCAAGGTATTTTGTTAAAGGCTTCAAACAAGCTATGCTTGCAGGCTTTTTCTGATTCTGATTGGGGTGCCTGCCCTGATTCAAGAAGATCTGTATCTGGGTATATTCTGCTTTTGGGTGGTTCCCCAATTTCTTGGAAGTCCAAGAAACAAGGAACAACTTCTAAATCTTCAGCAGAGTCTGAGTACAGGGCGATGGCAACAGCTTCTTCTGAGGTTCAATGGCTTGTTTGGTTGCTTGAAGATTTGGGGATTGTTAATTTGAAGCCTGTAACTCTGCATTGTGACAGTCAATTAGCTCTTCATATTGCTCAAAATCCTATGTTTCATGAACGTACAAAACACATTGAGATCGACAGTCATTTCACTCGGGATAAGGTCCTTGAGGGATTACTACAGCTTACATATTTGCCTACTCAGCATCAGCTTGCAGATGTGTTTACTAAAATTCTGCCTTCAGCTCAGTTTAAGGATTTGTTATCCAAGTTTGGTCTGACTGTTACTCATTCAGATCCTAGCTTGAGGGGGGATATTGGACACCAGACCCCAGCCACGTCAGCTCGAGGTTGTTAGAGTTAGTTACAGGGCTGTAACAACTTAATATTCTGTTACAAATTCTGTTACAACAGATTCTGAGCTTCCTGTATTTACTTCTAGATTTCCCTAGAAAGTTCTGATTTATTGCTGTAGTATATATTCTTAGATGATGTAAGAATTATTCATTCAATCAAACACAAATAGATTTCATTTTCTTTTTCTCCAAGTTTTTCTCTGTATTTTTCTCTGATATGCTTCTTACAGTTTTTCCAGAATATTTCAGATCTTCCTGTTTTTGTTCTTCCAGATTTTGTGTTTATACAAAATCTGTCAAGTTCCTAAGTCTTCATGTCCATCATCATTTCTCATGCTTTGCCCTTATTAAGTTAAGGCTTTAATCCACTAAAGTAAAGAACAATTCAACCAATTAAGTTGTATTATTGACAAATTAAAATCACCAAAACTCAATGTAGTTCATCAAAATTTATTTAAACTCGTTTAATATGAGTTAACGATGTAGAACATGCACTCTCATAGTCTCATTACATGACTCAAAAACTACTTTAATTTACACATAATAAATTTCTTTTATGGAAGATTGGCCCAAGTACTAGTTCAGTCAGGCCATTCTTGGACCAATAATAAAAATCTTAGATGGCTACTAGGCTCGCTCGCTCTACACTCTTTTACAACCCAATCATTCAAATCCAGCCCAATCATAGGCCCAAATAACAAATATGCTGGCCACGTTGAGTCAGCAAGAAAAGACAAGGTCCACGTGTCGTCTCTCATTGGCAATAAGGCCCAATAGCCCATTGGTTAAGCTGTGTAGGCCCATGTGAAGACCACATTGGTGGTGCATGGATGCCGAAAGCCTGAAACCGAGCTGCCACTTGCCGCCAATATCCATTACAACTGACACACGTGTCAATCAAAGAGTAACACCGCTCAATGTTGCTGCCAACTGTCTCACAAATGAACACAATGTTACAATTACTATAATTAGTTTGATGCAGAGAATATAATTAGTCCAAATTCATGTCCATTTTTATTTAGCGAGTTGAGTTTTTCAACATGCTGAGTTTCGAGTCAGGTTCTCAGGTAGATTATCGACTCTACTTGTCTCCTTTTACATGCTCAAAATTATTGCACCGTATATGAATTATTAAATTATATTCGTATAGCATTACATGTAGCACTTGTTGTGGTTGTGCACGTATGGATCACTTACGAGTTACGATAGATTCATGAAACCAAAGTAGATAATATGCAAATGGAGTTATACCATAATAGATATTTTATACTCCTTTTGTTTCATGTTATGTAGGATATCTATAAAAAATGAATTCTATATATTATGTGTAACAAATATTATTTTATTTTTAATTGTCGTTTTTCTCTCTCTTTAATTCATCATATACATTCCTATCTTTTTATTCTCTATTTAATATTCCCAAATAAATTTTACCTAAGAGTCTATGTCATAATTATATAATTTTTTTTTTTTGAAACCATAATTATATAAAATTAGAGCAATCACGATTAGCTAGAGAAATATTAGGAGTATGAAGATATTGTAAATTGGAGAGAATAATCAATTTAAAGTTGGCCTAATCTTTGGATCTTATTTAACTCTTGTGAAAGGAGTTTGATCTTATCCTTTAGAAGAGGAATTCATATTTTCTTTTATTTGCTAGAAGCTTCTAATATAATTTCTCTTTTTTAATTGTAACATATATCTCTCGTTTCTTTTTAGTTGACACTTACGTACGTTTCTTTAGTCACGTTTATCAATGCACAAATTTAACTGTTAATATCTTTAATTATCAATATGAAAAAATAAGTAGTTTATATTTGAAAATATATATCGTGACGAATCTTAACAAAACTCTACATACTATATTTTTCCATTACGTATAAATCACAAAATACGGTTAAAGAGAAGTGTGTGAATAATACTAAAGTCAAAATGTGTTAACTAATAAAAAATAGAGGTATTATATACTAACATAGCCTACATACTTGCATAGTAACACAAAGGAATGTTCAATACTTTGAGAAATATAGATAAAGAGAGAAAATGTAGACCAATGTAATTAGGAGAAAATGTAGACCAATGTAAAATCATCCTAATTAATCAAGAAGAAAAAAAAAAAATCAAAGATCGTGGTAATTGAGTATTGCCGCTATAAACATTTTGACTCGATCGTTAATTCGTTATGTGTATATGGTCGATACTCGATCATATAGCTGCCTCCGAATGCTGACACATAATTTTACAGTAGTTTTTTTTTTTTTTTATTATTTGGACCGACATATTCTCACAAGTCAAAGTACAGAGTATTTGGACAAACGACTTATTTATTTAATTCTATTATTTATTTCTATAAATACATATCAAAATATAATTGAGTTGTTTCAATTTCATTTCTTATAAGAGAGAAAGCAAAATGGAATGTCTTTTGGATAGTAGTAGCAATAGTTTTTTAATGCGTTCACCATCTTCTCCTAGCATTACCACACCTCCTAATTTGAATACTACTGTTTTGGTAAAAAACACCAATGTTCAAGAGGACATTGATGGTAGTCGTCATGTTATTGCTTACAAAAACATTGATAAAAATGGAGATCAATTACCAATAATGTTGCCTAGTCATAATCTTGTCCAAGTTATTTCGGATAATAATATTCGCCCATCGCTACTACCTTGTGATGATAATGATGAGAGTATACTAGCAAACGAGGTATGTTTGTTTATTATTATCCATATATCACTATTATATAGGTTGACATTTGATATTTTATGCCAAAAATTGTCTTAATATTTTCAAGCTAACAACCTCTAAAAGTCAATGATTTTTAATTCTAATGTATTGTGAGTTGTGACCTCCACATTGATAGTTTTTAATATATCACGTATGCATGTGCTGATGAGCATGTATTTATTGTAAGTGGTTCACTTTTTAAATTTACCTTGTACCTTTTTTTTTTTTTTTTTTTTAACTTGCGCTGTTAGTGTTTTTGTTGGTTAAATTTTATTTTTGTTATTGTGGAAAAAATTTAATTTCTGTAACGCATGCGGATATGCCCTACTTGCAAAAAAAAAATTGGCTTACCATAGTTAGAACAACCCTACTTACAGCTTAACAAGTACAAGAGTTACAACATTTCTAAAGGCTGAAGTAAAATGTAGATGCTGGTTAAAAATATGCATGTTAATAATGTAAAATAGTAGAGTGAAAAACAGAAGATATATATATTTTTTTTATTAAAAAATACAATTAGGTGAATTCCATCTGGGTTAAATTAATTAGTTAAATTGGGTGTAGAGATTGGAGTTTGATGCTGTGGATGTTAACATATCGAAGGGAAAAGAAGTTGTGGAGCTTGAACAGACATGCTCATTCATACAAGTTCACCGTGGTCCAACAACGAAGGTGTCCAAGGTGAGTAAGTGCACAAGGAAATTAAATAAACATTAATCTAATTTTCTTTTTCAATTCAAAAAAATGTAATCGTAATAATTCAACCAAAATTTTATTATGTGGTTATTTGAAGAAATCAAATACTTTTAATCTTGCATTGTTTTAAATTTAAATGTAAAGGGCTTTCAATTCTGTTTTGGGGTTAATAATGGATAGGTCATATGAAGTATATATATATATATAAACCAAAGTCTGACCACAACATTTAATTTTATTCCCCCACTATTTTATATAATTCAAAGAGTACACTTTTCTTGACTCATTTGCATGTTGTAATCAACAGAAGCGAAATGACAAACAAAGAAGGCAAAGGCTAATTAGTGAGAAGCTACACGCCTTGCAGAGTTTAGTTCCACACTCTCATAAGGTAACGTGTTAAATATCTTGTTATTATATGAGGTCTTTCAGCCATTCACTTATCATTATTTATTTGTGAAGCATGAAATCAGTGCTTTAATTATATAGCATCACTGCACGCTAATGACACTACTTCGAACAATTTTAACCGCCCCTTTAATTTAATTATGGTATGAAATGACTATTAGTATATTCATAATTTGACAAGTAATAACAATTGGGAGGAGACTGGAAGCTAACCACTCAGAACTGAACTCCGAATCCGAATTAGCTCAAAGGATAAACCGGCTAGAACACCAAAAAAAAAAAAATGATTAATAATAATAATTTGACAAGTAAAATAAAATCTCAATGTCCATACTAGCTAATTCTATCTCTTTCTTAATGTTGTTTTTTTTTTCCGTACATATTTATTATACCTCAATGCCACCACCCTTCAAAACGTAACACTTAATACGTAGAACTCCGTAGGTTGTAATAAAAATTCATGTAGAAAATGCGATTTGAATTTACACCACGTCATTGCCACATGAGAATGATTTTTGATTTCTCATGCATAAATATTACGGAGTACAAATTCGTTTCCGTTGCAACTTATCAATTAAGTGGGCCGTAGTTTAAATAATGTTAGCGCTAGTAGCACGGAAGAAGTAGGTATCATAGATATATATATGCATAATGCATGTATCCAATATCCATACAATAAGTTTTAGGCTTATATACACATCTCTTCTCCAGGCCAAACTGGCCTGTTGCATGCATGCTAGGTGTACTGTTTAAATATAAATGTGGTGATTTATACTACTACGTGCTTACTATTTTGTAGAGAGACCATGCAACCATCCTTGATGATGCAGCTCAGTACATCAAATCATTAAAGCTCTATATGGACAAGGTATTCAATTCATCTCTTACTTGCTATCTTCTTCATTATTATATTATACACGGGTCCAAATATACGTAGTATTACGCTAGTATTACGAGTAAATAAATTTAATAGTCGATCATATGCTTAGTCCCTAGCCATTTTCACCTACCTTCAATTCCTTTGGTTTCTGTAGCTATAATAAACGAGAAAATAACTTATCGAGGAGAGGTGAGAATTATACAACAATTACCATAAGTTAAAAAAAAAGACATACTATAATACTAATTTGAGTAGTTTATATTTTGACAAAATTATACAATATTTATACGCATAATTAGCCACATGCATGCATAACTAGATTCACCACTATATCTAATATCTTTCATGCAGATGGTGTTGCAAAGGAATGGAGAAAGCCTATATCAGCAGGCTCCTTATGCAGCTCAGCAAACATCCGTGTCCATGATGTCTTGGCCTCATAAAATGCATGCAGCAGAATGCAAATGGATGCAATAAACATCAATCAAATGTTGAACTGTTGAAGTCTACAATAATGTACGAGAATTCGTTTAATATACTTCATCCATCCCTATTTACTTGTCCTATATATCTATAATCATGTTTGCATTGAATTTTTAAGTGAAAATATAAACGAGTGGGCAAATGATCGAGACAGATAATAAGTCGAGACACCAAAAGAATGGAGACAAGTAAAAGATGGAGAGAGTACTATAACTTAGTCAAATTTCTCTTTCTGTCTTTGTTATTTTAAATAGTATCATTCTACTTTTACGTTTTATAATCTGTAATAAATTTTAATTATAACATCTTTGATTAGTTATCTTTCCATTATTTTAAAAAATTGGACAGTTTATAAGACTCAAGACCACTTGGACAATAATTAATTAACTTAGCAAATGAACCTTCTAGATTATCAGAATTTGTACTTTCAGTTAATTACTTGAGAGGGAGGTAGCTAGCTAAGGTGGTTAGAGCTTTTCTGATCTCCATATTCCTGGAATTCCTGAGATTGATTCTCATCATCCGTCCTTATGACTCTCTATACACCAAAAAAAAATAAAAATACTTATTTAGTTCGTAGTTTTCATTTTTTTTGGCATTCGAACTCAAACCTTTAACCGTATTCAATAAATATAAAAGACCAAAAGAAAACCTTATTTTATAATAAATCATAAAGTCGTAAATCAGCCGAACAAATCAATCAATTTTTTTTAAAAATCACAATATCACCCCATGTATGATTGGAATAAATATGGAGTAAGATTTTTTATTCATTTATTTTCTTATTTCTAAAGATACAAGTCATGCTAAAATAAGATCCACATGTCCAATATTTAGTACTCCATAGATTAAATTAAATTCAATTAGGGCATGTTTACATTTATTGAATTGAGCTGAACTAAACTGATTGGAACTGAAGTAAAATAAACTTAACTGAAATGAATATTTTATAAGAGAAGGAAATTTGGAACTGAACTGAACTTATTAGAGTTGCATTTAACATACCCTTTATGACTGACACATCATATTCATGCATGCATGTCATAACATAGGCATGTACATATTCCCTATATAATAGGACAATCGTTAATTTTCAACTACTCGTTGTAATTTTTAATTTTACATAAGTTTAACTATATACTACGTAGTATATTCTTTGATCACGGAATCGAATATATGTAATGACAAAACATGCATGCATTTCTACAAATATAGGGACTAAAGATGAAGCATAATAAAGATTTAACGAAAGGGCATTCAAAGGGAAAACAAGTTGTAGATCCCGACGAGGCTCACACGTCTGATCAACAATATCAAGATGAATCAATGAGGGTAAGAATCATGCAATCGTCATCTGATCTTATTAAATTTGTATTCAACTAATCAAACTTTTTCATGTTTACATCGAGATGATTTTCGTGAGTTAGTTAAACTGAAATTTCAGCAGATTTTGCTAACCGTGCTGTATATATGTATATTAACAGAGACGTTCACAGAAACGAACTAGTGAGACCAGACGAAGGCAGCGGGTCAATGAAAAATTCAGAGCAGTGCAAGCGTTAATTCCTAATTGCGACAAGGTACGGTTAATTGGTTATTACTTCCTTTGTCCCTAATTTTTTTGCCCTATTGTCAATATTTGAGTTAAATTTTTAAAACTTTGACCATTAACTGTCAATCCTGTCATTGATCTATAATAGTTAAAATAGGCATGTGTGATATTATTGCATTCATCTCATTGTGTATAATATTATCAAATTTTTTTATAATTTTACGTGTTTTTTTTTTGAGGGGAATAATTTTACGTGAATGAAACAAGAGATATATCATATATGCATTATTTTAAAGTACAACTTAGATACCGTGAAAAGTTAAATGGGGCAAAAATAAAAGGACAGAGAAAGTATATAAGGAGTATTAATTATAACAATGGCAAGCCTATTGATAATGTGTTATATATAATTATTACTACTGTTATTACTATTTTACAGAGTAACTGAGTAAGTTTAATTACACTTATTTTTGTGAGCGGCCAACACTTAGATACTTAATGCGGCGACATGTTGCATTAAGGTAGTAACCTTTTATATGAGACCAAAATATTACTACAATAACTTATTATGATGATAAGACGGAGTACTCGTACTATGCAATGTATGAATGATATATAATATACTTGATGAAAAGAGTATATACATTGGCACAATGTTGCAGGCGGCAGACCATGCGTCCATCCTTGAACTAGCCGTTGACTACATCAGATCCTTGAAGCTCCATATTGACGTATACCCTTATCTTTCCATTTTTGTCATATGTCGTTTCTACTTGTGCATTTGCTTCATTTCTTTCATAGTATTACGCATGTCATTTACCAATCTTGACAATTTTTAGTTTAGATGAACTACTACGAGAGGGGGGTGAATGGTAGTAGGTTCCAATCGCGGAACTTATGCGGAAATAAACAATAAAAACATAAAGAAACTTAAAGCACACAACAAGTTTTACGAGGAAACCTTCCAGTGCCTAACTGGAAGTAAAACCTCGGCCCTATTGGGACTTATAAACAAATTCCACTATAATAGGCAACTCTCCTAATACAACCTATTACACAGACCTTTGCTTCGCAAGTTCCTCCTAAGACACTTGCTGATTGATAAGAACCTATCCTATCAGACCTAAGACAAACTCAGGCACCTTTTTCGACCTAAGACAAACTCAGGCACCTTTTTCGACCCAAGACACACTCAGGTTCCTTTCTCGACCTAAGACACACTCAGGTTCCTTTTTCCCACTGTGCACCCCAAGACAGACTCGAGGTGACTGACTACCACTCGAATTTTAGAGAATTCAAACTCATACACTCAAACGTGAATTTAAGAGAATTCACAATCTCACCCCAAAACCAATTACAACTCAAAGACACACTCTAACACATAAATGGAAAGCTACACATGAAACCCGAAATCAAAATGATAAAGCTTAAACCTTTTGGCAAACTTACTCTTAAGCACTAAGTGGTTTTCACGCTTAAAACTCTCATTTTGCTAAGCTGAAATACTTCTATATTTATAGGAGTTTCTCAGCTTCTCAAACTAGGGTTTTCGCAAACAAGATAGATCAACCAGAAATCTAATCTTATCTTCCTTAAAACCGAAATCAAACGGATTTAATTTCGTTTTTATAAAAACCAAATTTTATCAAATTTGTTTTGTTAAAAGATAGAATTTTATGAAAAAGATAAAACTAAGTTAAACCAGATTTTATAAGATAAAATCAATTAAGTACTTTTTCATAAAACAATTACTTTTTACGAATTAATTTGTTTTCCAACCTTTATCTGATTTCTAATAGGTTCCTTGCATATTTATCCTTTATATGTTTACATCATCCTACGAAAACAAACTTATCTTTTACACGACTATAAGTTATGAAGTTCATCTTCTTCGGTTGATATCTTGATCTTTGTGTTGATCCTTGATTGTTAAGGCTTGCCCCAGCATTACACCAGAACCAGGTCGTTACAACCCGTTTGAAGTTTCCGTTGAGAAACTTCGGGAAGTTCCATTGCTGGAACTCTTCTTCTGTTCTTTACTTGTCCTCATGGATCTTCTAAAGTTCCTTTGTTCCAGTTCCTACTTCAGCCCTCTTCGCTTACTGAACCTGCCAACATCACAACACTAGAGAATCCTTATTAAAAGGAAGTTTGCTCAATTCTTACCATCATCATCAAAACCTCATAAGGGTCAACAATTTCCCCCTTTTTGATGATGACAAATTGAGCAAACTTCTGAGAATGATAAATAAAGAAACAGAAGGTTAATTTTTCATTTTTCATTTTTTCTTTTTTTTTCATATAAGCAAAGCAAAGAAACAAAACAGAAATAAATAATAGAATGAAAAGAAAATGAAAAACAAACAGAAAGCAAAGAAAGATTTAGAGAAGAGAACAACCTTTGTTACTTACTCAACTGGAACTAGAACAACTTCAGCTTTCAAGTTTGCTCCTGCTTTTCCCCCTTTTGGCATTATCAAAAATAGGACTTTTCAAAGTTTTATTCATCTACTCACAGCCCCACAGGCAATTCATCGAATGTGGGAAGCTGGATGCAGCGCTGGCTAGCTCTCTTAAGCTAGTGCTTTCACACAAATTTGCCTGTTTATTCTCAACAATGCATGCATATATAGACAAAGTTCCATAATATTTAACAAAAGTCAACCATCTAGAGTACTTAAAATATTACAGACCAAGTTCCAAAATATTCAAAGATAAACAAAGTTCAAAAGCATCCAGATAAAACAGATCATTGTTCCAAACATCAACAGAAAATAGATTAGGCTAGGGAATGGCTGAGGTAGGATGCAAAGTTGATCAGACATCAAGCGCTTTCAAGATTTGCTCAAGTTCTACCTTGTTGTCCTCTTGAGCTTTCTTCATTCGTGCTTCAAGGCTTGAGATTGATTTCTGGAACTCCTTAACTTGCGAGGCATTGGTCCTCTCCATTGCCTTCATCTTTCCAGCCATGTCAAGGAGTTGTCCTTCAACCTGCATGAGTCTGTTCGACAAATCATTAAGTATCTCATCAGCTCCTCCCTCTCCCTCACTTAGCTCCAAAGGTTCATTTGCACTTGTTCTGGCCTGAGTTCCAACTGAGAACCTTCTGCTCTTCCTAACAGGGCCTCTTAGCTGGGACTCCTCTTCCTTCCCTTTCTTTTTCTGTGCTTCATACTTGACACACTTCCCCCTCACAACAACAAGACTTAATCCCCTCAGAGTGGTTTCATTTATCACATTTTCTCCTTTCTCCCTCATATGCCCATAGAATTCCTTTAATTTCACACCCAAGTCTTCAAACACAGAGGCAAGAATTGTAGCATACCCTATTTTTAATTCCTTCTCTTTGCAATGCTCTAAGTGTTGGAGCATGATTGCTGGGAAATTTATTTTAATTCTTTTGGACATGCAAAAGATTAAGGCCACATCTAAGTAGCACAATTCGTTTTTCTTTTGTGTCCTTGGAGCCAAGGACTTTTTAACCAAGTTGAATAACAGTTTGTGCAAAGGAGAGAGATCATTGTGATTCATTACACTTGAACCTTTCCTACCACCCAAATAATTAATTATTTCAGTTTTTGTTTGCCCTGCCACCTTCACAGTTACTAGAGATGGCAATGGATCGGATTCGGATCGGGTGGAGCTTCACCCGCATCCATCCATTACTCTAATCGCTCCATCCACATCCATCCATCATCCGCTTCACCCATCATCCATATCCATCCGTCCATCCGCGGATGAAACGGGTGGAGCGGATGACTAATGGATGAGTATTAAAGTTGAAAAAAACTCACATAACTTTAATTTTTGGTTATTTGTACAATAGTTTTATTAATTTTATTAATTAAAAAGGAAACAATAACAATATATTGTTTGAAAAATTAATTTGCAACAAAAAAATACATATAATTTTCTTGCACATTTCAGATTTTATTATTAAAATTCTTAGATTAAAAAATTAATATATGTTAAACGGGTGGGTGGATGATTAGAGGGTGAAAAAAGTATCATCCATATCCATATCCGATCCGATCCATCATCCGCTTCATCCGTCACCCGCTTTTCATCCATTTAATTCGGGTTTTCATCCATTTATTTATTGCGGGTGGAGCGGGTTAGTGGATATCCACTTAATATTGACATCCCTAACAGTTACAACCCCTTTCATATAAG